TTTGCAGTGTTCAAACTCTGGTTGTGACTTCCATTTTTATTGCATTCTGACTGTTTGACAAAAGTCTTTAGAGAATGAACTTTTTTTTGTGAACTCCATTTTGTTGGAAATGTGGATTTGAAAATATGTTTTAAATTAAATAAGAGTAAAGAAATTATATTTAAATAAAATGGAAAGAGAATTCGAAATTTTATTGGAGAAGGTAGTGAATAAACTATCTCTTCAAATTGGGGACTGCACTTTTTACATAAAATTTTGGAGAAATTTTTTAAAATATGACTAGAGATAATCTAAAGTAATCTTTTCTTTCTTTTTTTTTTCTTTTGTTTTGTTTTTAAAAACATTTCCCTTTTAAAAATAAGATGAAAAATGGAAAGAAAACAGAAGTCCTTGACATTGGATAAGCGTTTGGCAGGATTGAAAACAATAATGAAAGGGAAAATTTTGAAGATGTTTCCCTCTCCTCCAAAAAGAACTTTATTACACAAGTGAAAGAAATACCTCATCTCCTAGGAATTAAACTAAAGTCTCAAAAGAAAAAAAAAAAAATCAATTGATTAATACACATCGTCACATGCACCACTTGCACCATTGCACCACCACCACCACACTTGCAGTATCATTAACACATCAGCTCTAAAGTCTCAATCAAATAAAAGTAATACTTTTGTATTAAAAAAAAATGTTCCTCAAAAGGAACAGTGTGTGAACAAAATCTTATCTAAAAATAAATTAATTTCAAGAAAAATCTAACGGGACGAAAAGATTTTGTATACTTTGGCGTAGCAGTGATGGAATGAAAGGGAAAATTTTGAAGATGTTTCCCTCTCCTCCAAAAAGAACTTTATTACACAAGTGAAAGAAATACCTCATCTCCTAGGAATTAAACTAAAGTCTCAAAAAAAAAAAAAAAATCAATTAATTAATCCACATCGTCACATGCACCACTGCACCACCACCACACTTGCAGTATCATTAACACATCAACTCTAAGGTCTCAATCAAATAAAAGTAATACTTTTGTATTAAAAAAAAATGTTCGTCAAAAGGAACAGTGTGTGAACAAAATCTTATCTAAAAATAAATTAATTTCAAGAAAAATCTAACGGGGCCAAAAGATTTTGTATACTTTGGCCTAGCAGTGATGGAACGGGTGTGGAAAGTTTTACAACGCTACGGCCTTGTTTGGGAACTCTCATTTTTAATTAAAAAGTTAAAAAGTTATTAAATTAGTTAAAAAGTCAATAATTTATATCAAAAAGTTAAAGATTCTCTTTTCTCTCTACTTTTTGTACATCTTTTCGTAAAAAGTTAAAAAGTCGTTCTAAACATACTAGTTTTTTTTAGTTCATATTTTAGTCAAATAGCCAAAAAGTTACTAAATTAGTCTGTTCCCAAACGAGTTTGGGAAGTGGGTTGACTTTTTGGCTTTTTGATTTTTTTGACTATTTTAACCTGAGCTAAAAAGCTTGGTTTGGGAAGGACTTTTTAACTTTTTAGCTTTTTTAACTTTTTTTGTGAGAGAAGAGTATAATGATTATGAGTTAGATGTGATGTTTTGTTTGTTGTGGCTAAAATAATCTATTTTGTCTTTTGTGACTATTTTAGCCATAAATCAACTTGCCAAACAACACCGTAAGTGTAAGAGGTCTGTGGTTTTAGTCGTGTGGTTGAAAAGAAAAGGTTAATAGGCCTATTTTAAAAAGTTGGTTAAAAGTTAATTTTTTAATTTTTTTAATTATATTATTTTTTAATTTTTTTTACATTTTTTTATAAATAAAGTTAAAAAATTAACTTTCAACTTTATTTCTCAAAATACTAGTAGTCAAATCTCACATGGACTAGTTATTCAATGCTGATATTATTGAAAAAAAAAAAAAAAAAAAAGAAAAAAAAAGAAGAAGTATTTTGGATGACATTTAAATTCTTCCTTTTGTAGATTCCTTTTGCTTAGAAATACAAATTAAATTCTTCCTTTATCTTATTTTTTGTCAACCACTCCAGTTGTAACCCACCTTTTACATTTAAAAGAAGGAATTTTCAAACTCTAATCTTTAGAAATTTATGTCCTTTTTTGATGTAGAATCAATCAGTCTACAATGCTAATTATCCTAATTAATCTCAAACATTCCTATCTAGGGATGTAATTCTGATCGGTAGTACTAGTTCTGCAGGTTTATATTCACTGGCCAACTCTCATCTCTCTCTCCTCTTTATCACCAGCCACCAATGGTCACATCCTTTACAGCCATCACCTCTTTTGAAATACTGAGGCACCTTCCTCCGTCTTTCTCATTCTTTCTTTCATATTTTTTTCTTATTTTTTTGAAAAATGTTGACCCACTAAATCATCACCTTTATTTTCTCTCCTTGTACCTTTCACTATCAAAAAATTATGGCCTTGTTTAGTTTGTTTTTTAAAAAAAATTTTGAAAAAAATTCTCTACGAACAAATTTTCAAGAGTAATCAAATCAAACAAATTTTTCTTAAAAAAATCTCAAAATTTTGTTTGATTATCTACTTTTTAAGATCACTCTCTCTCATACACATCAAATCAATCACTATTTTTTAAAACTCTTTCCTCAAAATAATTTTTCAAAATCATTTATGAAAAAAAAGCAAATCAAACAAGTTTTTATACTTTTTATCTCAAAAATTACTCTACAAACACAAACCAAACACACCCTATAGCAGTCAGGAGCAAACTCTATCTTTGAGCATTCCTGGCTATGTATGGCCATTGCAAATTTGAAAAGAAATATGGGGTATAATTGTTTATTTAGTGGTTAATTATTAGGACAACAAAGCCTAACCAATTATTTATTTTCCTAGGCATTTGACATGCACTACTAAGCGGGGTTTGGGACTTGACTTTTTTTCAGTTATTTTTAGCTTAAAAGCTTAAGTTCCTAAACAAGATCTAAATTGGATAGACATCTTGACAATTGCAATCTGGTAGCCACAACAAATGATTTGGCGCCACAAAACAAACATCGGGGACTCCATATTTTCAACCAAACCCGTGGTTAGTTGAAAATAAACGAAAAGATATGCACTTTATAATTATAAAAAAAAAAATAATATAATTTTTTATTTTTTTGAGTCATAACTAAACCCGAAAAAATTGTAGTCAAATATTTTAAAATAATATTATAACTAAAAGAAAATTAATCATAATTAAAAATACATAAGATATGATAGTGTGTATAATTAAATTCTATAAAAATTAAAATATACTCATTTTCACTAAACACAAGGAATATGTTGTCCTTTTGTATGACTTTTTATAAAGTAGAAACCGCGTTCCCAATTTGAATATAAAAATTTCTATGGGAAGAAAAAAGGAAAGAAGAAAACGGAAAAAGCAAAGCAAACACAACAAAAGAAAGAGAAAGAAAGAAAAAAGGTACACAATAAAGAGCAGGAACCATTCGAGGCCCAACATTTTCGAGCTACCATACATTTCTCTAATTATTAATATTTATAAAATTAATTCACATGTATTTTAAGTGATATACTTTTCATCATAAAATTGGTATGTATCATCCAACAAATTTAGTATATACAAGGTATTTATTGTGGTTTTATTACTTATAAACCTAAGGCTCATTGTTATCAATCATAATCAGATTTTGTATAGAAATAAAGAAGTAATTAATAGTTAGTTTAGCATAACAGGTAAAAAAAAAGAAAAAAAAGAATAATTATGGGTGAGAATAATTATGTATTCTTACTACTAGAATGATTAAGAAAGTAAAGCATATGAAATAAAAAATAAAAAACTTACCATGGCTAGGAGGCACTATACCATCAAGAGATTCTAACTTTGTCCTCCCCTAATATCAGGAACCAAAAAGATGGTATCACCTACCAAGTCAAATTAAATATGATTGATCACTCAAAAATAAAATACAACAAACTTTTAAAGGAAAAAAAAATATACTGACAGCCAAAGGAAAAACCAAATATCCATCGAGATCCTATCATGTAGTTAAAACTCAGGTAAATTCACAACTTTGTTGGATAAAGTTTATTCACATATATTTTAAGTGATATACTTTTCATCATAAAATTGGTATGTATCATTCAACAAATTTAGTATATACAATGTGTTTAATGTGATTTTATTACTTGTAAACGTAAGGCTCATTGTTATTAATCATAATGAGATTTTGTTTAGAAATAAAGAAGTAATTATTAGTTGGTTTAGCATAACAAGTAAATAATACCCACAATCGACTCACATCATTAGCATTCTGTGCAGAGATCCAGCATTTTCCTCCATTGGAGTCGCCACTAAGAATGAACATCTCCGAAGAATTTGGTCTAGCGCACTCTAGCCAAGCCCCATGAAACCAATCATCATCATGTGCCAAAGAGTTTTTGCCATGAAATCTTACTCATTACCTTAATTTCTTATTTTATTTTAAGTATGATAAAACAATTTCCACATATTTGTACTAACATATCAAAGGAGACTATTTATTTGGTCGTCAATTTCTGGAATCATAATATGAGATAAATTAGAAGTGAATATTCCAGTAATTAAAGAGCCAGAAAAATCAACAGAATTGGGTCAAATTCAGGCAAGCAAAAATGGAAGATTGTTATTTCTTGTATATACATTAGTAGTTATGCCATAGTCAAAACTGCATAACAGAGTTTTTTCTTGTAAGTAAGAACTTAAAACCCAACATCAAATTCAATATTTATGGTAAAGCAGGTTGCAAATTGATGCAACTTACTGAAAACCTTAAAATGAAAAGCATAACATAGACTAGCATGCATGGTTAAAGAAAAGCCAAAATTCCCCCAGGCTCCAAAATTCCAAGCTTGATGAACTATGAATTCCAAGACACCATAAAAAAAATGTCTTCAGCAAGCTTGCTGTTATCATTCAAAAGATAATTAAGCATACAACATAGAACAAGACATTAGCTTTGTTCTGCATAGAAAGATAGTGGAAATTGATGGTACCAGTAATTTTTTTTCCATCTTGAACGGGATCATGGGTTGCCTGTTGAGGTAATAGTGATTGTCTCAACCAATTAGAACTCAGTGGCATCCCACTATGAAGCATCTTTGTGAATGCTGCAAGTCTTTTTTGTGTATCAGAAAATGGTTGACCTGCTTCAGGGTCTATCAGACTGAGTAAAGTGTGGGACACCTGAGATAAGAACATAGAACTCAGAATTGTCTATGATGGAATTTAAAATGGGTTCTAAAGAAATTCTACTCACCTGCACTACAAGTTGATTACACCACAAAATAACCTTGTGTTCCATTGACAACGGCACATTCTTCATGCCTGTATTACTAATAAAAAAACCATGGCTAGGAGGCACTATACCATCAAGAGATTCTAACTTTGTCCTCCCCTAATATCAGGAACCAAAAAGATGGTATCACCTACCAAGTCAAATTAAATATGATTGATCACTCAAAAATAAAATAAAACAAACTTTTGAAGGAAAAAAAATATACTGACAACCAAAGGAAAAATCAAATATCCATTGATATCCAATCATGCAGCTAAACTCAGGTAAATTCACAGCTTTGCAGGATAACACCAAAGAAACAAGAGAACAGACAGACAAACTTTACAGCAGAGGAGTCAACACATATCCACCTAGTTACCTTATGATAGTGTCCAGAGAAACAGCTGTGGCAACAAATTAAAGCAAAAGCCCTATATTAAAGCATATAAAAAAGAGTTGCATATCACTTGGGGTCTGGTAGTTTCTGTACAATCCTGCACTGGCTTGCATCATCAGGTTAGAGTTTTCCCATTCATTCTCTCCTGCTTCCTCTTGTAATTCTCTTTTCATATTTCATTCTTTTATTAGTTATGGCATTGTATCAAAGCAAAACTAATCTCTGAAGTCTTATATCTTCTTTTAATTAATACAGTGCATGTAGGTGGTTGTTTTGATACTTAAATTATGCATAAAAAATGAATAAAAAAATCTTCTACCATTCTATTTTAATTATTCAAAGAAAACCTTGCAAAATGTATTGATTACCTTGCAAAATGTATTGATTAATTGAATTTTCCATTTTTTTATTTCTCATTCATCCGACTGAGGTTCAGCACTCCTGTTTTCAAGTTCTGACAATGTAAAGCTCAATATCTTTAGTTATTTGACATGTCACAAAGATCTTATCTAGTTTGTTC